CTCACACAGCAACTAGAGAAGCCAGCAGCCCTAGAGAGTGGAGGAGCTCTAAGCAAGGACCTCTGCCCCTACCCTGTCTCTTTCTCAAACGCTTCTTGATTTTCATGGCCCTTCCTCTCCAGGAAGCCCTCCTGGCTGCTCCAGCCTACGCAGATCCCCAGCTTCTGAGCTCCCCCGAGCCCTGCCAGGAAGTTGGAACCACAGGCCTCTCCCTACTGACTGACTCCTCTCTGACTCTGGCCTCTTCTATTGGTCGGCAGGGGGGCCTCAGGGTTCCTTCTCTCCTCTCCCCTCCAGTCTCCCTGACAGCATGGGCCACAGACGTCCAGCCGGTTGGGGAGCAGCGGCTGGGCTGGGCAGGGCTGAGAAGCAGCAGCCTGGGTGTGCAGGCGTCAGATGACACCCAGGTTTTCACACACCCACAAGGCTTCCAACTGTGCAGAGAGGAGGACCCGCGGGGAGGAGGGGGGCACCAGGCAGCCTCTCCTGCTTCTAGGGGCCTAGACCACGGAAGGGGAGGGGGAGGCGGAGGGAAGCTGCGGTTGGAGGCCCAGCCCCACTGAGGCGTACAGAGCTGGTGTGTGATGAGAAGCTACCCTCATCACAGTACCTCAAAACCAGGAAGAGAAACTGAGCTGGCAGAAGGGTGAGCTGGGCTGCATGGGGCCCTCAGGTCCCTGGGGGCCTGCCAAGGGGAGCTCTTTGGACAGTCGCTGGACAAACCACTTGTCCCTCAGTTTCCCCACGGGAAAAATGGGATTCTCTCCCTGGTCCTGCCAGTCTGACCCTGATTGGTACGGGCTCTATCATGCCTGATACAAGAGACGCCCCCCAGTTAGTGGAGTACTCCTGGTCCCCCAGCAGGCTCTGGCCTCTCCCGGGTAGCAGGGCTTGGCCCCCCGAAGCGAGCCTCGCCCTGCTTGCTTCTCCTCTCAGCCACGCAGGGAGCACACTAGCTCTTCCTCACCAGCTCTTTATTTTTAGGTCTGAATTTGACTTTAATCATTACTTAGCGGATTCTATTTCCAGCCCTTGGATGAAGGGACCCAGAGGAGAGGAGGAGGGGAGGCAGTGCTCCCTGCCTGGTGTGGAGGGTGGCCTGCCTCCTCCACCCATCCTGTCCCCAACCAAGGAAGTGGGGCACTGAGAAACTCCCAAAGTGCTCACCCCAGCCAGGCCAGCATCTTGGAGAGGACCGCACCCTGTGACCTCATCCCAGCCTGAGCTGTGGGACAGGAGGGCAGTTGTAATGCCTGCCTCCCCTGCGCCAAGACCAGGGACGAGTGGGACACTCCAAAGGCAACAGTCTGGCGGCTGGAGTCCAAGGTCATGTGCCTGGGAGCCCTCTGCAATGAATGGGCCACCTTGGGGAGGACGCTCTACCTAGCTTAGTCCTGAGCCATACCAGGGTCAGCTGGGGCTATGGTCTCCTAGGCCCTGGGAGTGCCAAGCTGAGACTGTTTTCCTCCTACTGTCCATGGGCTGACCCTAGCAGGGCACTCCCAGTTCTCTGATCTCCACAGACGAGGAACAAGAGGTAGTAAGCGATGTCACAGCAGTACATGCTCAGATTAGACCTGGAGAGCACCTGCTGAAGAGAAGGACACTAACACACAAGACTTCCCTAGCGATTTGTGGACCATGTATGTTCCCCTTCAACTCCCAGTTGGGAGGCTCTAGAATCTCTGCCCCTGACCCCAACTTTCTTCCCTTCCCCAGCCGCTGGGCGGGAGGATGAGGCTGGCATGGCTGTCCCTGGCTTGGGGCTCCGGATGCCTGAGTTCCTTGCTAAGACTCAGTTTTCCCAGGGAGAGTAGGCCTCTATCTCCACTGGGGAAATGTGGGGCTGGCCTAGGAAGTAGCTGAAGCTGGGGGACAGGAGGCAGCCAGGCTCTCAGAGAAAAGGCCTCGTCCATTCAGCTCTGATGCTGAAAGAACACAGGGAGAATGGGTAGGGCCAGGGCCCAGAAACCAACCAGCAGCCCACCTTCCACATGGTGATGGGGACGGGGTAAGGCAGAGAGGGGGGACAGGATACTGGCCAGAGCAGTCTCTGAACACAGGGTTTCTGAAGGGCTCCCTGGGCAGAGACCACCCTTGGCTAGGTGAGCCATCAGCCAGCCCTGGCCCGGGTGTCTTCTGCACACGCTGAGGCAGCCTGCAGTGGGCACTCCTTCAGCAAAGCCTACCCCTTCTCACAGAGCGCCTAGTGGATGCCAGGGGGTGTGCCAGGCACCTTCTAGTACCTTGGTTAGATGGTTCCGTGTCCGCACACTCCCCTCTGAAGTAGGTATCACCGTCCCTGTCGTGTATATAAAGGAACTCTGGCTCAAAGGATGACCTGTCCAAGGTCTCTCTTCCCTGGCCTAAATGGCGCAGCTGGGCCTGGAATCACGCTGGTTGGGTGCCAAGCGGCCCACTCTCTCCAATACCCTCAGCTGCTTTGGGGGCCTGCAGTAACAACAATTACAACAGCAACAGACGGGAAACAACAATGCACAAGCTTGGTAAGAGGGTTGGGGTAAGGTTGCTGTGGCAGAGCTTTCGGGAATATTTTGTAGCTTTTTAGGAGCAAAGTTGCACAGATTGTGTAGCAACATGAGAAAATGCCCAGATATGGTATTAAATGAAAAAAGGTGTGATGGCATGCATACCCAAATGAAAACAGCGACAAAGGCAAAAAAGATCAGGAAAAGACTGGCTGGGAGGCTCCAAGATACTAACAGTCACTGTGCCAGTGAAGAAACAGTGGGTGAATTTTCTGTGTTCTAAATTTTCTGTAGTGCTGTTTTGTTACTTTCTAAATTAAGAACCCTAATACTATTTACCTACATTCGTAGTTTTCTGAGCTCAGATTTGCTTCCTGGGGACCCACCTGCCACCCAGCTCTGGTCCTGGTGTCTGGGACATCAAGGGATGGCCTTTCTGATTTGGGACAGCCCCTCAGACACATGAGGGTGCTTCCCTACCTTCTCTTTCCCAGACCAAACACCTTTGGGGACAATGAGATTCAAAACCTCCCAAAGAACAAGCTCAGAACTGGACCCAAGCCGTCCTGCCAGATCAGGCTTGTTGGGGCGGCCACGTCACACTGTGAGCCCTGGGCCTCTGTCTCTGCCTGTACTCTGGTCTGCTCTGTGATGGCTCAACCCCTTGGGGCCTGGTGCCCTCTGCAGCAGTGCTGGGGACCATCTTCTGGTCCTTCTCTGTCCCAGACCCACGGCAGAGAGAAGAGCAGGAAGGAAGCCACCAAGCTCGCCACATAAAAAGTGAAGCCCTGCACACGTGCTTGCCTGAAGCCAGACCCCTTTCTACAAGGGTCTTGGGACCCCGGCCTGCACCCAACAGCTCACAGGCGTCCAACCATGTCAGGCTTCAGCCCCAGGCCCTCAGGCTGGCAAGGAAGTTAGGGCTGGGTGAGGGGAGCCTCACAGGCCCAACACATCTGTGTCCCCTCCACTGTGCATGTCAGGGCAACCGGAAACAACTCTAAATCAAGGGCAGAGGCCTGAGCGGGACAAAACTGCCAGCAGCCCCAAGGGGCCCCAGACATGGCTAAGTATCCTCCAGGGAACCTCCCACACTTCCAGCAGCGAAAGGATCCTGCCACAGTCCCAATCTCCTTCCTGCTGCCTTCACCCTGTTCCTGCTGGGGCCCCACCAAGAAAGACACTGGGAACACCAGGGTGTAGGGAGCTTGGAAGAGACCCCCTGGGTGTCCCCACTCTGACAATGCTCCCATGCCAAGGCTGAAGGGTGCTCCCTGTGGAAACAGGGCTCTCACCTTCCCCATCCAGATCCCATTCACCAGCTGAGCCAAAGGTGTATAGGAGGAAGGGGTCAGGAATGACCACCAGGCTGTTTCAGTTCAGCACCAGGGCTGCACCCCGTGGGTGCCCCACACACTCACCGCATCCCTCAGTGGGACCCAGCCTCAGGCACCAGGGGGAAATCCCACGGGCAGTGCCAATGCTGCCCGAGCCCAGACCCAGGCAGAGCCGGGGCCGGAAGCTCTCTCGCTTCTCTCTAGCCCTCTGTATGGGAGCACGTGCTCACCCCACGAGGACCTGTGGGCCAGGCTGGGGGCTTATGTCCCTGGTGGGTAAAGGCACCTGCCTGGTTTCTCTCTACCCACAGCAGTCCAGCTCTGCAGAGCCGGTGGGGGGGGGGGCGGGGGGGAATGAAAGGACAGACAGCCTAACTCTGCCAGAGGCCTGGGATAGCAACTCCCCCTTAAAGCCTCAGTCCCCTGGGCTACAAAACAGGAGGGAAGATAAACCCCTAGTTAAGCTCCAAGAATCTAGTGGCTGGACACGCCCCTTCCTGACACCTGGCTAGGCCCTGAGCAGCCTGGGAGAACGGGCTGACAAGGCTGCCAGGAGGTGGGGCATGGTCCTAATGCCCAGTGTCACCTCCACCAGGACAGAGGTCCAGCCCAGTTTCCCCACCCTAGGGTCAGAGGTCCCTTGGCTTAGGCCTGGTGTTCTGGGAGGCCGAGGGTGACAGGCTCAACCTCTGGCAGGCTCAAGGGAGGTGGCTGGGCCCTGGGCTTCCTGGAGACGGCAGGGCCTCCGCAGGGGAATGCGGGAGGGGTCAGAACCAGGCAGGCCAAGGAACCTGCAGGGAGGCCCTGGGCCGGGAATGGCAAACCGCCCATTCTCCTGGGCCCTGGCCCATGCCGACCCCCTGCCTCCAGGCTCCAGCCAGCCCCCACAAGAGGGGGAGGACAGACAAGGGGGTGGCCTAAGACAAGTCTGTGGGGCTCGAAAGGCAGTACCTCCCTCGTGCGCTCCCCTCCCAGTCGGGCTGGGCTGACAGTGACTCCCGGGAGATTTCGAACCCGGGAAGGAGCGGGTAAGGGAGGTGGGGGATGGGTGTGGACGCCACGGCAGCTGCAACAGAAGCAACAGAAGCAACAGAAGCGGGACGAGCGACCTCCACCCACCTCCCGCCGGGAAGCACCCGGACGCCCACCTCCTCCAGGTCTGCCAGGCACTCACCTCTCTCGGGGCACTGCGGTCCGGGCCACTTCGCTGCAGGCAGCATCAGCGGCCTGCGGGGCAGTCCATGCGGCCAGGGGGGAGGGGAGGGGCGCAGGGGTCCCCGGGTGGTACGGTACAAAGAGGTCTGGGTGCGAAAGGAGGGGAAGGAGGGACGGCCAGACAGAGGCAGGGGGATGGCCTCGCGGCCCGGGTCGGGGAGGGAAGAAAGGCGAGGGAAGGGGGGCGGGAGGGAGTCGGGGGGAGGAAACAATGTAGCCGGCGCGGCCCCGGTAGAGTTCCGCTTCCGAACGCCGCCAGAGAGGTTCGATTTTGGGACGTCGCGCCGGCTGCCCGGGGCTGCCCCGGACCCTGGATCGGGGCCGCAGGGGGTCCCCGCGTTCCACGTCCCGGAGGCTCCGGCGGCCACAGGCTGGCTGGGGCGGGAGGGACCGCTGGCCGGGGGATGGCCCCGACGGCGGCGCGGCCGGGCGATCGCCCCGCTCGGACCCCACCCCGGCAAGACCTCCGGGCAGGGTGCGGGGTGGGGCGAGAGCGAGAGGGCGACGGTGGTCTCAGTGGCGGCGGCCAAGCTCGGCTCGCCCTGGTCTCCGCTGGGAGGAAGCTCGCAGGCCTGGCGAGAGGAAGCGCGGCCCGGATCCTCCGCCCGCGGCAGCGCGCCTGCGCGAGGGAGCCGGCCCGGCGCGCCGCGGGGCGTGGGCCGGCGGGGCGGCGCCCCCTGCCGGGCGCCGGGGGCACTGCGGGGGGGGTGTGTCCGCGCCCACGCCCTGCCCCCACCTGCCCACTGGCGCTGAAGGATCCTGAAGGTCCCTCACCGAGGGCCGACCAGCCCGCCTTGGAGCAACCCCCAAGCCTTCCTCGGGCGCAGCTCCCCCCATGTAGAAGCGATTGAGGCCAGGCCTGGTCCCCTCTCCTCGGATCTGTTTGAGGAGAGTGGGCCTCACTCACAGGAGCATTTATAGATTCACAAGCATTTCCTGGCGCTGAGAATGTGACAATTCAGGAGTCTACTACTAGGACCACTTCGTTACCGTCAAGGAGTTCCCAGTACTGACAGGCCAACAGACAAGCACCAAGAAATAACTGACAAAAGTGAAGAAGTGGTGTACAAGGTCCACAGGAAGCAGAAAAGAGGGAAGAGGCCTAATGAGACTTCACAGAGCTGGGTCCTTAGGCAGAAGGAACAGCATGGACAAAGGTAGGGAGGGGTGAGAGCACTTGACGGCTCTGGGAACTGTCAATAGCTCAGTACGGCTGCAGTTTGCAGCGTGGGTCCAGGAAAGTAGTGGGAGATGGGGTCCCTGCAAGCCCCAGAGACAAGAGAGATCCAAAGGGCCTTATGGAACTTTCTTGGACTTTGTTTTCAGCCTGGCAGCAGTGAGAAAGTTGTCAGCAGCTATGTGATTTTGGGAAAGTTACTTAACCTATCTGTGCTCTAGTTTACCAAATGGGGAAAGTAATAGCACCAACTTCTTAAGGTTTTCTGGGGAGGAAATGAGTTAATACGCTTAAAGTGCTTAGCGTGCAGTGGCTGGCACATGGTCAGCCCTTAGCTAAGTATCGCCTGTTATTATATATTACTGTTGACGAGGAGCAGGGCGTGATCTGCTCTGAGCTCAGGAGCAGACAGTGTGTGTGTGTGGGTGGGTGGGGGGGAGCATAGAGTTGGGGGCGGGGGCAATGATGGAGGAGAGACCAGAGACTCCAGTGTGGGTACAAGGAGGCAGGCCACTCCCTAGGGACTGGGCCCTGAAGGAAGGCTCAGGAGTGGCGGGGCAGAGGGGAGGGGCGTTCTGTGGTGGGGAAGATGAGGTGTGCAGGCAAAGTCTTGAAATTCAAGATAAGTGAGGGGCTAGGATCCTGGAGGGGAGTGAGTTGAGAAGGCAGTGTGGCTGTACGTTGCAAAGAGCAGAAGTTGGGTGTGCCTCCCCAGACAAACCGCAGGATGGCCCTCTGACCCAAGGCACCCCTCGGCCAGTTTCCAGGAAGGAGCCAGTCCGTCAAGGAGGGAAGTGGTAGTCACACCACTGCCCTTTGAGGAGACATCCAGTAAGTCTCAGAGATAGCTATGGTGTAACAGGAAAAAGCATGGATTTGGGGTTCAAATTGTAAAGTTAAATTTCAGCTGGGCCACTTCCTAGTTGTGTGATCTTGGGCTAGTTACCTAACGTCCCTGAGCTCAGTTTCCTCCTCTGTAAGATCAAGCTTAAAATGCAACTCTCTCACAAGAGATGCTGCAGATGCAGCAAGATAATGGCCTAGGGGTGGGGGAGGTGGGGAGGGTGCTCAGCTTGGCTGGTTTCCCTTTCTTTCCTCTGAGGTCAAGATGGAATGATAAAGTGGGGCCGGGTGGGGCCACCTCTCAGCCTAAAGGAAAGCACTTCAGCAGCTCTGCGAAGGCTTCTGGAAGGGCCAAGTTGATATCTCCCCTCCCCTGACTGAATCCGCTGGCAAAATGGGAAAGGGCCGTGGGGATATGTGGAAAATGCTCTAATCCCTGTCCCAGTTTTTCACCAATGCATTTTCCTTTACCCCCAAACATGTTTGACATTTTCCCCTGGGTTTGCTGTGGCCTAAGTGTGAACTTTGGAGTCAAATAGACTTGTATTTGCATCCTGGTTCCACCTCTTCACGGCAGAATGCAATAAATTTGTTAACTTCCCTGAACCCCAGGCACAGGGGACAAATCAATAAAGGGTCCTGCCCCACAGAGCTATCCTCCAGTGGAAGAGCCAATGAACTTCCAACCTCACCACCATTCATTCGTTCATTCATTCAATCCCTCACTCAAATACTTACTGAGCACCTACTAAGTGCCTGGCACTATCCTGGATGCAGGAGTTGAAAGGGCGAGGAAGACCACTGTGGTTGTTGCCTCATGGGATAAATAAATAAGCAGGGCAATCAGACACTGTGGCATGAGGGCAATGAATTCTTGATGGAGGAGAGCACGGCGCGGGGACACAGACACAGAGGGCCCAGCAGCTTAAGGGACAGCCAGAAGGCCAAGGTGACAAGACCAGCAAGCGAGGGGGAGTAGTATGAGAGGAAGGGGCTGGATCTGGTAGGGTGTTATGGGGCAGGGGTTTTATTACGTGAGTTTGGATTTTATTACATGAGCGCTGGGGAGCCGCTGAAGGATTTTTAAGCAGGGGAGTGACACGATTGAGCAGAGGTCAAGAGACCAGTGAGGAGACTTTGCATATTATGGCCAGTGATGATGGGCATGGACCCCCGTGGACAAAAGGGAGCCACGTGGCAGCTCTGGGTGATGGGCTGTTTGGGGGAGTGAGGCCCCAGGAGAAAGGGGGCCTGATCCTTAGGTACAGCTGGAACATGGGGAAATGCTGGTGCTTTTTGCTGAGGTAGGGAGGACCTGGGAGAGGGGCAGGCTGGGGGTAGCGCTCAGGAGCTGTACTTTGGACAAGCTAAGGTTAAGACACCTGTGAGACAGGGAGATGTCAAGATGGCGTTTGGAGCCACGTTTTACAGACAAGGCCACTGAGGCTCGAAGAACTCAGAACTTTCCCAGAGTCCCACTCCCAGAACTGGGGTTCCACTCTGAGGACCTCCAAAGCCTGGGGCACCAAACAGCCTCCCCTCTCAGCAGGCCCTAGGAAAGGAACTCATCAGAGAAGGGTCTTCGGGTTCCAGGAAAGGGGAGGAAATTTAAGAGGAGCCCCTCCCTGCCAGGTAGCCTCAAGTGCTAGCTTTCCCAGGCTGAGCTGTTGTCCCCACCTTGGGGGAATGGAGAAAAGAGGGGAGGCTTGAGACCCCTGGATGTGGGAACAGGGCTTAGGACTTCTGGCTGCATTTGACGACACAATGCCACCGCAGTAGCTCGATGCAAAGTTGGGTTGGTAGCCAGAAGTCCAGAGCTTAAGCACCTTTATGGGTGGACTGAGCTCTGATCCCAGGGTCCCCTGGAAAGGAAAGGACTTCCCTCCACGCTGCCTCCTCCTCTCCCCCAGCCTCTTTGCTCTGAAATGACAGTTTAGAGAAACTGGTGTGAAATAGTTTGAAACTCAGATGTCTGGGCAGTCCCTCAGGGCACAAAACAGGAAGCCAAGATTAAAGGCAGATTTCCAGCAAAGTCCCCTTCTACTTCCTGCAGAGCAGGTGCTCAGGCTGAGCTGACTGTGGGCAGCTTCCCTCGCTGACAGCACCTCTGCGTGGCTCTGCAGAGGCCGGCTCTCCTGCTTTAGGAGCTGTTCTTCAACCTCGTCATCACCATCCCCACAGGAAGCTCCTGCCAGGCCCTTGGGGGAATGAGCCTTCTCCAGAAAGAGGCTGTGGAAGGTGGAAGGAGGCACCGACAGGAAACAGCACCTGGGGACACCTAGGAGGCAGTGAGACCAGGCGGAGAGGGCATGGGCTTTGGGATCGTTCAGGCCTGGTGTGAATGCCACTGCTTGCTGTAGGGTCTCGCTGACCTGTGGGAGTGGGTCGAGGGGTAGAAACAATGCAAAGGGGGGCTTCAGGGAAGGTAGCCGGGGAGACTGGACCAGTGCTGGGGCCTGAGAGGCCTAGCGAAGGGCAGAAGCAGGAGAAAGCAAGTGGCTACAGTGGCCATCTCAACATCAGGGACCACTCGGCGGGGGGGCCAAGCTGATATCCACAGCTGCTAAAGTCTCAGGGAACCAGGGGCCAGCATGGGCCTCCCCTGTAACCTCTTTCGGGGGCCGGCATGGCCCTCCCCTGTACCCTCTTTCCCTTCCTGACCCGCAGGAGGGCTGGCTTCTGTGGGCTCCGTCAAGGCAAGAAGCTACGCCTGCCTCATGCAGAGGCAAAGCCGTGACCTTCCAGATGAGCCCTGTGCTCTCCTCAAGGGGCCTGAGACCCCACCCTCACAAAGCTGTCCTTGGGAGGACACCTGCATCCAGAGGCATCACGCATTGAAAACCTCCCTTCTTGGGCTGGCTGAGTTTATCACGAGGACAAGGCATTGGCCTGGGAGACCCAGGTTCTAGGGACAGACTGGCTTCTGATTTGGGGCAAGTCCTCCCCATCCAGGCCTCAGTTTCCCCTCCTGTGTACCGAAGGGTTGCATCTGGTGACCTCCTGCTGTTCTGACTCTGTGTGCACAGGTGGAGGCCCTGGGCACGGGGAGGGTGGGCAGCTGCCAACGGACTCCAACTTCTGTCCGCCTGGGACCAGGGAACTACCATTTACTGAGCACCTGCTATGTGCCTGATACTTTATTATTATTATTGATGATGATACTGATATTTACTGGACACTTACTATGCACAAACATTTTTAATGTCAGATTAAAGTCTCTTCTCTTTACCGCAACAGTTTGCTCTAAGGGGATTTCTAAGGATGCTTGTTTGTTTGTTTCCGCCATGATGGTGGCAGAAGTCTTGGTGC